TCATTAAACAGACATACACACATGCACACAAAAAAGCAAACCCACTGCCTTTGTAGCTGTAACTTTCTGCCTTAGGGTAAGGTAAAACAGGTGAAACAAACACATTGCTGGCACAGATACTAGTGTTTTGTTTTTGTTCTGACAACACAGAAATAAGGCATAGGTGCTGCAGTGTGGCCAAATGTAAATTCCTATGGATCTGTGAATGTCTGCTTCTATGCTGGTAAGTGATTTTCCACCTAATTCGGAAGCCACTGGCCTGTTTCAAATGCATTTATCAGTGGAAATTCTTGATTATAATTACACTGCCTGTATGTAGGTCAGCAATACCATAAATGCCCCAAACAGACACACTCATAAAACAGTAATGTGCATTTCTACATGTGAGAAAAATTCACAGGAAGCCAAACTTCATTTGCTCCACTATTCATAGAACTCTTTCAAATAAGCTGAGCATCCAGCTGTGTAAGTCCAAAGTACCACGAAGCAAACCCATTCCCACTCTTTATATTTTTATATAAAGTCACCATAGAATGGTTTGGGTTGAAAGGCACCTTAAAGGTCATCTTGTTTCCACCCCTTGCCATGGGCAGTAACACCTTCCATTAGACTAGATGGGGTTCTGAGAATCCCATCCCACCTGGTCTTGAGCACTTCTAGGCATGGGACATCCACAGCTTCTCTGGGCAACCTGTGCCAGTCTCACCACTATCACAGTAAATAATTTTTTCCTAGTATCTAACCTAAAGCTACCCACTCTGAGTTTAAAGCCTGTCCCCCTTGTCCTGTCACTACATTTTAAAATGCTGGAAAATACTTCTATAGTAGTTGGAATATTTAGAATTATACATTTAAATGGAAAATTTCCAGCCTAAAATGCTGCTTGCCAAAAAAAGAAATGAATGACCCCTCTTTGGAAAATACTTTGATGATTTTACCACTATTTTTCTTCAGTATCCTCTCGTGTTAAATTAGGCTTTAAATGAATCTCTTAATAGTCTACACCTTACAAAAAAGAAAAGTATCTTGAATAATGGAAGGTTAGAACACATGACAATGATGTGTTCCTGTTGTTCACTTCATAAATATCTTTTTACTGGTATAGGATGCAAGTTTTCATGTATTAGGTGACTTGGCTTTTGTTGATCTAAACTTCTGTCATTTAGGGACTGCAGACAGTGGTATAATAAATTTTCCTTCAGCAGCTCAGTTCCTTTAACATTACACTAGAAGCATTCTTAATTATTTTTAAGTGTTTCAACTGCTTCAACTGTGGCTGCTGAGACTATATTTGACAGTCTAGAAATGTATTTTTGGGGAGCCTTGCCTCTTTTCTGAACAATGAGGTGTATACATCCAACTTAAGACAGCCTTGTATTCAGCTGTCAGAGGCAGTAAAAACATGTCTGCTCTAATGCATTTCTTAAAACTTATCCTCTGTTTGAGACAAGAGGGCTCATGAGAGCAACTTCACAGTTTTAGGTGGTGTTTGTACCAGCAGCAGTAACGCATGGTAATGTTTTCTTTACCTTGCTGCTCCAAAGGTTCCACTGAGCCCATATAAACGCATTCAAAAATCCATTTTTCCATAGTGATTAGATCAACTTTGGCCTTGTCTTTGGGTGAAATACAAATTTAAACAATGCTAGAATTAAAATACTAGAGCTCTAAAATTGTGATTGATAGAGTTCAAGCTGACCAGTTCTTGTTTCAGTTAATTAAACAGTTCTGCTCACTTGCAATTTTGATGATTTTTCATAAAATGCACCAATTCATTGCAGTGATGAAATCTTACACCAGACTTCCACAGGTAAGAATTTTGTTTAAAACATTTTCACGACTCTTACCTCCACAAGTAAATGTCTCAAATCAGTTGCTTTCCAAATGTATATAATTTCTTACCATCTACAATAAGATTGACACCTTTTTGTTTTAACTTTGCCTTTTAATGAGCTTAATAATTTTCTTTAGTATTCTGGCTGCAAGAAACACATGGCATTAAGCAAATGCCTTTAGAATTTGTTATTTTATTAGCATGCTACATTTGCCATAAATGTTACCAAATTAGCATTAATAAATTGGGAGGCCAAAGATCTACTTGTTAACTAAAATTAAAAGGTTTGAATAGGTCAGAATCATGTTGTCTGTGGTACTATAATCTCTGGCATCAGAGAGGATTTACTTTGAAATATATTTGTTCTACTGATTTAGAAATGTGATTTTGAGGGGGTTTTGTTGATTTTTTTTTAAGACATATTTCAAAGGAACTTTTAAAAATGCCAGAATGACAGAGTTTATAACTTTTCCTGATGGTTGTTGAGACTTTACTAAATGAGCTTTTCCTAGGGACTTGTGTGTGGACCAAGATTAGGATTCACTGTGAGCAGCCCTGCAGAGAAGGATTTCCAGGTTCTGGTGGAAAAAAGCTGGGCATAAGCCTACAAGGTGCGTGTGGAGCCCAGAAAGACAGCCATGTCCTGAGCTGCATGCTAACCAGCCTTGTCAGCAGATCCAAGGAGGTGATTCTGCCGCTTTGCTCTGACCTCCCGAGACTTCCACCTGGGTTTTGTGTCTAGCTCTGGGGTCCTCAGTGCAAAAAAGCCATGGACCTACTGTAGTCAGTCCAGATGAGGTCTGCAAAGGTGATCACAGGACTGGAGCACCTCTGCTAACGATGCAGGCTGAGAGAGTTGGCAAGGGTCAGTCTAGATAAGAGAAAGCTCAGAACTGCTTTATATAACGATGGTGTTATAAGGAAGAGCGAGAATCAGTTTAAGGCAGATAGTGACAGGACCAGGACAAGCAGTTTTAAACTAAAAGTGGAGAGACTGAGATTAGACGTGAGAGGAATGATGAGCTTGTCTTTACAAACAAGCTGTGGGTCAGTTGATAAGATGTAGCTATCAGTGAGAGACAACAGAAACAATGGGATGGATTGCAGCAGAAGATCAAAGAGGCACTGAAAGAACACTATGAATTCCATAAAAGTTAAGAAGGTATTAAAAACGAGATTCACTTAATAAATTATAAAAAGAATTTAATAGAAACAAAAGACAATTAGGAGATAAAAGAAATAAAGCAAAGGGTTAAAACGGCCGGGTGCCCTGGCGGGTTGCCAGGAACACACCTGGTATCTTGGGAACACCCTTTTTATCCTCCCCTACTGTGAAGGTTTAATGCATATTCAAAGCGTCCCCTCCCTGGTTCCGCCTTCTTAGATCATGCTTTTGTACAATTTTTATTTTCTGCTGGTCAGCATTTATTTTTGCTGGTCATCATTATTCTTGCTGGTCATCATTATTTTGGAGTTTGGTTTCCTTTCTTTTTGCAAATGGTCAGGGCAGATAACAGTCTGGCCCGTCATCCTTCCCCTGAGGACAGCTGGGTTTCATATCTTCCGCTGATAACAGTTTGGGCTCTATTGTTCTCCTGATAACAGCTTGGGCCCCACTGTCCTTGCCCTCTGGGGTTTCCTTGCCTTGTACCTAGGAAATTCTTTTAAGCTTAAGACTTGTTAGCAAGAAAAAAAGTACATATATAGCTAAAAAGTATTTAACATATAATATTCATCTGCGAAAGCCAATATCACAATACAAATTTATAACAAAGGGATTATGCATTGGGGGTGGGAAGGTATCGCCGCCGGTATCAGGCATTCCGGGAAGCCTGTACCTCTCAGGTACCTCAGCCTATGGGGAAAGGGAGAAGGGACAAGCAGCCGGGAATTAAGATAAAAAGGAGGCTGCGCCCCCCAAAAATTTGAGAGACCCCAGGGGAATGCCCCATGGCCTCTCCCTTTATTTGAATAAAGAAAAAGGACTCCTCTGTCTCCTTTTTGGACATAAACCTCTGGTGTTTGTGGATTAATTTTCCTGACAGATGTTAGGGAAAAAGTTCCTTTCTGTGAGGGTGGTGAGACACTGACACAGGTTGCCCAGGGAAACTGGATGGATGCTCCATCCCTGGAAGGCCAGGCTGGATAGGGCTCTGAGCAACCTGCTCTAACTAAAGGGGCCCCTGGGCATGGTACGGGCTTGGAATGAATTATCCATACGGCTCCTTCAAACCTGAGACCATTCTGTGATTCTATGAATTGCCCTCCGGGGTTTCTCACAAGGCAAGCAAAGCTTGACAAAACACGAACAGATGTTAAACATATTCTACAGAATGTTCAAGCAGAATGCTTCTATTTGTTTCCAGCGCACATACAAGGGAGCACAGTGATCCATTTAAAACCACACGATTTACGACAAAACTGTTGAGCAACGCGACCATTTCCCAGTGGTCTTTTAGGACGGACAATCCAGGTGTGTCCCTTTCGGATAGATCCAAGCGGTACACAGTACTGGGTATTGTGCAAGGAGGACACCTATTTCCCTCGGGCCAAGCATTTCTCGGAGAGCCGGCCCCGGGTCCCGCAAAGCACGGCCATGGCTGGGCCGTGGCGGACGCCACACTTCCGTCCTCAGGCCGCATCGCTGCGCGTGCGCACCGCCGATACGGGGGGGAGGTCGACGTGACCTCGGTGCATGCGCACACCCCGCTCCCGCCTCCTCTGCCCCGCGCCCCCGCCAGCTCGGCCCCCTCCCCGCTCCCGCCGCTCCTGTCCTGGGGCTCCTTTCCCGGTGCTCCGGCGCTGCCGCGCCTCATGCGGGGGTCAAGAGGGTGGAGAAATTCAGCGCTCGGGGAGACTTCCCGCATCACGTGGTTGGGGTCGCGGCAGTGCCGTGCCCGGGACAGGCTGGCCCGCGGCGCCTGACGGGGCTGTCGCCGAGGGGCCCGCGGGCCCTGCGCCCCGGCAGGCGCCTCTACCTTCTTCGCTTGTCGGCAGCCCGCGGGTGTGGAGCGGTGAGGCCGGGGCTGTCCGCCGCGGCGCGATATCAGCGCTGCGGGGCCCCGTCCGCACAGGCAGCTTGTTGGACAGCTCAGGCGGGCCTTGTTGGCGGCAGGATCCCGGCGTGACCTCGGCGTGCGCTGTCGGGAGCGGCGGGCGGGCGGATTTATGTGCCGGGAGTGGGGCCGAGCCGGGCGGCAGCGGCAGCTGGCGGGGCCGGCGCGGGCATCATGGTGAGCGGGACGGCGAGAAGCGGGGCGGCTGGTCCGCTCCCCTCCCTCGGCTCGGGGCTGAGCTGCTGCAGGCCCCTGCTGTGGGGACAGCTCGGGGGTTTCGGCGCGTCGGGAGCAGGGAGGCAGTGGGGTGACACCATCTAGCTCCGTAATTGGCGCTCATGAGCGGAACACCGCGGTGTCTGCTGCTTTCCGCTGTCTTACACCGACACGATTTAACTGCCCAGTGGTTTCTTCCATCTCTGCTACTTTTCCTCTGGGATCAGAGCGAGCCACTGCACTTAGTGCTGTGTAACAGGGTTTGAGTGTCTCTTTTTAAATGCATAGGATTCTTCTCCCTCTCTATAACTACCTGGCAGGAGGTTGTAGCGGGGTGGGGGTTGGTGTCTTCTACCGTGCCTGCAGTGAAATGCCTCAAGGAGGTATGCCTGCAGGAAAGGGCCTCAAGCTATGACGATGGAAATACTAGAAAAAAGAAAATTCACTGTTCAGGTGGTCAGACATAGGAATAAGTTGGCCAGCGAGGTGGTGGGGGTTACGATCCCTGGAAGCGTTTTAGAAACGTTTGGGCCAAGGGCTCAATGATGTGTTTTAGTGATTCAGGAACTACAGTGGTACTGCTGGGTTGACATTTGAACTTCATGATCTTAAGTTGTTTTCCAACAACTTACTCTATAACTGTTTTGTCGGATCTCCTTAAAAAAAATCTCCCTGTAAATGGAGCGTGCATGTGATCTTGGACATACCTAGAAACCTTAGCCAGACGCTTTGTTGTTCATTGCCACAAGTTCAAGCATGGTGCTCTGGGTCATGTCACCACTGTCATGTGTGCTGTGGCAGCACATGAGTGTCACAGAATCATAAAGCATTTGGGGCTAGAAGGGATTTCGTGAAAAAAAAGTGTTTCAGCACAGCTACAATTTATTAGGCTAAATGTAGCGCACAATAAATGTAATGCAGTAGGAGAAGAACAAAGTCTGGTGTAATTCCTGCTAAGGATGTAACCTTGTTGGATACATGTTGCTTCAATAGAGCAGGCCAAGTATTTAGTGAATATTAAATTATATAAAGATATATCTCTATAGAGGTATGCTGAATTTCATATTTGTGTCTTAGTTATAATTTAAAACACTGGAGTTGATTGGCTCAGCTTTTAATGTACTTATATTTGGGATACTAAGAACAGGGTCTGCAGATGTAAAAACATATTTTGTATTTGTCATTAATATATTACATTTCTTTTTCATATGACTGTATGAATGTGTCAATATGTCATTTTAATTATGGCACCAGTGTTTGTTCATTGATCGAAGTCTTAAGAAATGCACTTTACAAATATATTTTTGATAAAATCTGCCTTTTAACTGTTCTCATACTTAAAAGTTTAATCATGTTATTCCACTAAAGTACTTTTTATAGTGTAAATTCTGGCTTATAAAAGGAATTGTATTTTTTTTCTCATGAAGTTATTTTATTTTATTTTATTTTATTTTATTTTATTTTATTTTATTTTATTTTATTTCATTTTATTTTATTTATTTTCCACCAGGGTTAGAATATTTATTCAAAAGGCCATGAGATGCTCCTTTCATTTGTAGGAGTCGATGAGTGGTCTAGTATTGGAAGCTACATTGGGAAAATTGCATGCAAAAAAAGTTTTTCCTTTCATTGTAGGTTCTTATTTAAATTACTTGAGTGCTTGCTTGTGTTGCCTAGTGGGGTTGAAAGATCAGGTCCAGTTTTCTTTGCTGGGTGTGGGCAGTGTGGGCAAATAATCTTTGTGTGTGATTCCATGGCGTAAGGAAAGGCAAAAGGTCTGTGCTGTTTGGAAGCTGTATTTTCCAGTTCCAATGCAACAGGAGAATGAAATGTTCATCAGTTTCTTTTGTAGTAAGAGGCTTAGAAATCAAGTTATAAACATCAACACCTGCCGAGCTGGGACTGTCACCTGTGCAGTTGCAATGCCAGTTAGGCCACGACTTTAAGCTCTGCATAAGTGTCTTAATACTTGGTAAGACCATGGTGTTCTAGATTGTTCAGCAGAAGCGTAATGGCTTTTCACATTTTATACTTGGAATGATTCCTGAAATGGCAGAGCCTGTTCTTTAAAAAGCAAGTCTTCTGGAGAGTGGGAACTTTCGTACTTCCTGTTTTTCTTATTTGTGGAAATATTGGGCAAACTAGATTTTCAATATCTTGGAAAAGTAATGATGAAATATAACCTTCCTTTCCATGTGTAGTACATAATTTCTCTGAACTAGTTTTACTTTTAATTTAAGAATAGGTTCCGTATCCAGTTCACTGCAACAGGTATTCTGTATTGCCTCTTCAGTAATAATGATAAATTGGCATTTTTACAAACGCCCTTGTTCCATCCATAAGATTTCTGTAGCAAAAACTTGATTTGCCTTATGACCATTAGTTCTGTAATCTTTGTGCTTAGAGAGCCTCAGTGGTAAATGAAACAAGATCGTCAGGTAAAATGCTGTTCACTGACTAAAGCATGATTTTGGTTTCAAACAAATCAACTTGTTTCAAAGGGATTCATGCATACCTGAGTCTTTCCAGCAGTTTATGGCTCTTCTTTGACTCTGTGTAAAGACAGTGGCCGAGAGAGAAGTGACCTTTAGGTGTGAACGACACTGTGACGGTGAGCAGTTGGGTGATAGTATTGAACACCTTGCATATTCTTCATGCCACTTCATGCATCTTTTGTTGTAAACAGTCGTAGGTGCATGGAAATTCTAATTCAGGGAAGCCTTGGTCACGAGAGTAGAAAAAAAAGTAAAAATTGAATTTTTTTAAGAGTTCTCTTGGCATAATTTCTTTTCCAATATTAGCTGTATGAATGTCTGATTTTTACAATTCATAGGATTTGAACTACCTCCGATTCCTGATTATAATGACTGTAGGTATTCTGTGAAAGTAGTCCTTTTCACAGGAAGTGTTCACTTTTAAGATGTTGCACAGCAAGCTCAGTTTTCTTTGGCTGTCATATATAATATTTCCTACTGTTAAGGAAGCAATTTTGTGTTGCATTTGTCTTTCAGGAGAACGCTATCTTGCTTTTGCAAGCTGGAGCTTTAGCATGGACATAAACATTTGGAGAAAAATTTGCATATGAAGAAAAATTATATGGGGGAAAGTCTCATTTACAGTAAAAGCAATAATGAGTCTGCTATTAAATGGCATTTCAAAGCGGTTGTATTGATTTATCTTCCAGACTTCACAAATATCATTGCACTTCTAAAATTGCAGGAAATAAGAGTATTTGTTATAGTCTCTTAAAAATCTTGGTGGCCACTACTGTTACAATACCTTTTCAATTTCTTTGAAAAATCACAGCTCTGTTAGTATGTTTGTGGGCTACCACCGAAAGATATTGTTACGCCCTGTACTAACATCTGTAGAATACTCGAGGATAGTTGTGTTAAAATCTTGTTTTTACAAGAATTGCCGCTTCAGAAAGTAAGCAGTGGCCATTAAATTTCTGAATTTAAAAAATTGTGAATGGGATTCTACCAGCTGGTTTTCAGTAATGCAGCTGTATCCCTACTGCAGTCCTGTTGCATACAGCAGTTACCTTCAGCTCAAGGCCCTCATCTTGTAATGGAGGAATTACCTTGTAATGGTTACAATGCCAGAGAACATATCATTTCAAAGTCCTGCGTAAAGCTCGGTATTTGAATTATTTGTAATACGTAAGTAGGCGGTAAAGGGAAAATGAGACAGAAACCCCTGGCCTTTTACTACAGGTAAGGAGGAATAACCTTGGACAAGGTCAAAATAAGGAGAATAAAGGGGTGTTTTTGCATAATACAGTCAACCTTGTTTGTCTTTGTACTTCATGTTCTATAAATCATTTCATGATGAAAAAATAAATGTTCTTTAGGTAGAAGTACTTTTAAAAAGGGGATTTTTTGTTTGAGACTCTGAGATAGCTGTTGGTGTTTTATAAGTACACTTGCGGTGTAGATAAGAGTATTGTAACTTTATCTGAATTGCTTATTCTTAGTTTGTGTCCTTCTACTAATCAGCAACTTTCCAGGTATATAGTATAAAAGACTGAAAGCCAAAGTCCAGGTTATACTTCATTCAACCTTACGCTTTTGGCTTTTCAGCCTGCCATTTTTTTCCCACCAATTTTAAGAAGCTTGTCAGTCTTCACTTTAATATAACTGCTAAAACTATTCTTATGGGCCATTTAATGTGTTCTCTGCAATCTTTAAGCTTTTATGTAAAGTCTGCTACGTTACTCAAACAAAAGCAGGAATGCTATGGTTGCTGGAGGATTGGGAAGTGAATGCAGTGCTCGAGACTTCTGAGACACCTCTCAGTGCCTCTGTGGCAGAAACACTGCTAGACTGTAGTTTATTAGATAGACCGTGTTGATGTTGCTGCATGGCTGTACCATTTCAGTCTTGTTTTTTTACCAGGAGATTGCTTGCCAGCCTGTGTTTTGCAGAAAAACTGATGTACATAGTCAGCTTTGGTCCCCATGCCTCCCAGCATTAGAGAGAGATTGACAGAAATGTCTTTGATCAGCAGAATACAAACATCTCTTTCTAGTGTCTTGAACTTGGAGTTCAAGTTTAAGCTGCAAAACTGAAGCATGATAAGGACATGGATGTATGTGGAATCAGTGCTGAAGGACTTAGGAAATGGTTTAATTTCCACAAACTGTTCTGTAACTGCAGACACTTTATTTAATTTATGCAGCAGTTCCTCATCTCTTAACAGGTGAGTAATGCTTCTCTTAGTTTTGAGTCAACCCAATCACAGATTGTGTGCTAATTACTTCAGTACAGATCAGGTTTGTTTACCAGAGGTCCTCAAAACCCCCCTCAAACATATACCACTCTATTTCTCATACTCTGGATTTTTAAAGTTGCAGATTTCTGACTAAAGTTTAAACCCTGTGTCCTCTAATTTAAAGTGTGCAAGTAGAGGATCTAGGATGTTGGTGGAAACCAGTACCTGATCTTCATTTATGTTTCTGAAATGAGTGGTTTTGAATTTTAGCTGATATTAGTGTAAAGTGAAGACTCAGAAGTATGGCAGAGGCTGGTTCTAGCCAGAGCCTGTATTTGGGGATGGAGGAAAAATGTGTTATAGTGTTGTAATATGGGGTAGTTTGGGATGTTGTAGATTTTTCTGGAGTGCGTTAGTAAACATACAAGTAGAGTGTAAGCACATCCAGGCAAAAGTGTAGAATTGGCAAAAAGTCATGCTGTGTGCATAGCATGTTATTTTCACTGTATCATCTACTGTGTTCCTGTGACTAGTGTTCTTGTCTGTAGGAGGATTAATGCAGTGGATTTTAAGAAAAATTTCTTGTGACAGCTTTTCTCTATTAGCATATTGCTTGTGATCAATTACTAACCTTCAGGAATTGAGAAAAAAGCCCATATAGGGCATATATGTATGTATGTATATGTGTGTGTATATATATATGTGTATATATATATCTGTATATGTATATATATGTGTGTATGTATGTATGTGTGTATATATATATATGTATATATATATATATATATATATATGCCCTATATGGGGGGAGAGAGAGAGAGAGAGAGAGAGGCATTTTTCTAATTTCCTGAAGGTTATTGGAATAACATTCAGGAATAAATATATATATATATATATATATGAATATATATACATCTATATATTTTTAATTGGTTAAAGTGTAGAAAAATACTGGAAGGATATTAGGATATTTCCTCCGCAAAGTCAAAATTAAGTTTAGAGATATCATTGGGGGTTTAGGTTTGGTTGGGTTTTTATTTTCAAATGGCTTAAAACTTGCTAGGGTTTTTTTTTCATTAGAAGTACACTTTCCTTAGCTGGGGGACTGGTGGAATTGGTTTGAGTAATCTATGTACTGAACTACACATAATCTTTAATATAGGTTGAGTGTTCAAATACGTAGAGCTCTTGATCAGTGAAACAGAACATAAACAAAAGTGAGGTTTTACTTTTTGAGGTACTTCAAGGAGTTGATGGCACCAAAGTGTAGAAGTAGTAGAAATTCCGAGGAGGGAGAAGGTGAAGAGACTCTTGAGCACCAAAGAAACTCAGTGGTATCTGACTCCTTCCAAAGGTGTTATTTCAAAATATAAAAAAGTAGCACCTACTTGTAATTGATACGTGGCACTTTTTTATGAGACATATGTTAACATACTGAAAATGTTTATAAATACTTAAATAATTTCTGCTGTCTCAGTCTCCTCAGTCATACAGATGATAATGTCTATCCAAAACATTTCATCTGCCTATGTTTTTTAATAAAAGTAGTATTGACACAATTTCTGTTTTACAAAAGGAGAAAGCATTAAAGGAAGAAAAAAATAAAACTTCTGTTACAGTAAGGAAATATATAAGAAAATATATAAATAGCGCACTATTTAGGATGAAAGATTATGCTGCTGGTAGTGGGGGGGAAGGTGGATGAAGACTTGTATGTCAACAGATCATTGGTGGTGTTATGTCTAGCAGGTGTTGATAGCAGGGGCTTGGCTTGTATTACCTCAGGACTCTCTCTTGAGGTGCAAGGACTGCTAAGGCTTTAGAACAGTATCTGACCAAGTGGGGCAAGAGCATCTTTGCCAGTACTATGGCCGAACTGGTATTTAGACTAGGACTTAGAGAGGAAAGAGGTGATGTACCCTCAAGTTAAGAGGTAAAGGTGGTGGACTGATCTGGTAAGCTAAGGATGAGGATGATGTGGAGAGGAGTCCTTGAAAACAACTTATCAGGAAAGATAAAAACCCATGCATATAGGTAAACAAAGAGGAAGTACCTGTACCTGTACATAATCTCCTCAAGGAGATTAGCTGTGGTGACTTGGAAATGCCTTTTCCCTTTGATGAAGTTTGTAAGTAATCGTAGCAAGTTTCAGAGAAAAAAAAAATTTATAAACTGCTACAGTATTCTGTCCCCTCTCTTCCCCCATTCATCTCCAGTGTATCATGGCTATTATTCAGAGAGTTATTAAATTGTGGTTTTTTTTTTAAAGATACTTCACTACTTTTCTAAAACATACTGACTTGTTATTAACTTACTTCTCTACAGGGTGTGATAGGTGTACAGTTGGTGGTTACCATGGTAATGGCTAGTGTCATACAGAAGATCATACCTCACTATTCTCTTGCTCGTTGGCTTCTCTGTAGTGGCAGGTAAGATAAGTGTGAATATAGTAATGCAATTGTGCATCAGAGTAGTAACGGTAAAACATACTGATTTAATTTGTTTTTTTTAAAGTGATTGACTTTTACTAAATTTATTACCATGGCATTGTTACACCTGGTTTGTGGACTCAAGGCAGAAATACAGTGTTGCTGTAAAAGAACTTACTTGTTTGTTGCTATTAATTGTATCACTCAGAAAGTCAATTGTTGTTCAGCTCTTATAAAGGTGCATCCTTTAATACTAAAAAGCTAAATTGAATGCAAGATACTGAAGAATAAAAGGATTTTATTTTCCCCTGTGCTGTCTCTGTGTTGTTGATAATCTACCTCCAGATTAGCCTTGCATATGAAGAATTCTTAGATATTTGTTAAAAATTCTATTCCTTTTTAATATGTCAGAGGACAGTATTACTATAAATTTCAGTACACTACTTCCTTGTAACAGTAGATCAAACAGACATAATGAGCTGCAAGGAGAGCATTCCCTGTGTGGCTGTATCCATAATAACAATGAAAAACAGAAGCTGTTTTGAATATAAATCAGTACATTAATATTAAAAGGAATCATAGACACTGTGTTTTTTCATTTGGTAAGAAGAACACTTCGTATGATAAGCAGGTAGTGTGTTTTCCTTTGTAACTGTTAAAATTTTGAGAGTATCAAATCCTTACTGCTTGCTTTCTGAAGCAGTACCTTTGAATAATAATGTACTCCATAGGAGTATTAACAAGTCTTTCCATTGACTTTTTTCCTCTGCATCTCATAATTATCAACTTGTTCCTTTTTTATATTCCAGATGTCATCACCCATAAGTTGCTAGTGAGAAGTGACTGTAAATGTTGTTTAGATGTGTGTTAGGTATAACAGAAAACAGTAATTGTCAGGTGCATAACAAACAGGAATCATACTCTTAATTATTGTGTGAAATTTCACTGTTAACCATATTGGCAGGGTGTTGATCTTGTGCTCTAAAAAGAACATGACACTAATGAATATGAAAGTGCCTACCATTTTTTTTTTAAGGTGCGTCAGCATGAGGGTCTTTTTTATCAGCAATTATCCAAATGACATATTGTACTTTTTATGTCTAAGATTGATTTTAACTTTTGTTCAAAAATTTAAATATCTGATTGCTCTTGTAAAATAATTTGTCATTGTTATGCCCATGTTCTTCATTCTTGTGAAGTTTTCACTCACTGTATCCTCGTTTTAAGGCACCAGTGTTTTAAGGTACCAGTTATAGGGAGAAGTTTGCTGTCCAAATATTTTTCAAATCCATTTCTCCATTATTTTTGCACACCCTGCAGACTGATAAATACCTCAAGCAGGATTTCAGCACTTGTGCTTAGGTAATTCTGCTCTTACTGAAGTTAGTGGGAGTTTTATTATTGCCTTCCTAGTCAGTAGCCTGGAAAAACTAGTTGCTACTTTTTGGTTTTCTTTTATTTATCTGATAATTATTTTAGTGCATTGTAATTTCAGGCACTCTGAATAATTCCCTGAATACAGGAATGGTATAGAGTTAGAAATAATCCTGTGTTCTAGAAATAAAAGTATGTCAGAAGATTGACTGCAACAAGAACATGAATTTTAATGGCAGAAAGAAAAGCAGTTATTTTCTTAGTTAACTTGATAAACTGCATTTTACCTTTAACCCATTTCTCCTTAGTGCTTCTTTTTGCCAGTGGTATTTGACAGCCCTGTGTGGGTGGGGTAGTAAAGGGTTTTTGTACACTTAGATGTGCAGGTACAGGCACACTCCTAAAGCAGTCCTGCTGTCTAAGGAAAAATTACCACCTGCTACTCCTTACCTTTGTTGTAGACTTCAATTAGTCTTTGGTATCCAGCAGTGGTTTTTAAGTGACTTTGTTTGAATATCTTACTTCCAAAGGATTGGCAGACAAGACAGACCTGAAAGATATCTACCTGTCTGTAGATAGCCCTTGCTAAATGTGTGGGAGGATAAATGTTACCAGAGAGAAACATTAAGTGACCAGTTTGTGTAGATGCCTGTATGTGTTTGTGGGAAGTCTGTTAAAAAGGAACAAAGACTTTTTAAAACGTAAAGAATTGTTAGGATAGACAGACTTAAGGTAACTACTTGTTAATGGAATAAATAGTTGTTATTGACTTTGAAAAGCAATTTACATAAATTTGTTAAGAAATACAAACTTTTTCAATCAGTGCTACTTTGAGAGCTTAAATGCAACTAAGTAGATTTATTGAAATATTTGGCAGCTTAAATATCTGCATAGGCCTTGCATTATTTTTACCTAAGAAAACATTCTCTACCGAAACATTGCTTTTAAGTTGCTCAGCTATTTCAGTTACTATGTTTTCAGGCCATATCAGGATGACAGGAGAAAATGGTTGTTTTGTTGTGGATTTGTTAATTACCTTTATTCAAATCAACTAGGGCCTGTCTGTGTGTCTGTTGCTGTTCAAACTGACTTGGATATGTCAAAGCCACAAATCAGTTGTGGGATTTCAGTTTTAAGCATATATAAGCTAGAACAGATACAAACTACTTTTTATTAGCTCTATCTTTATTTATGAAAATGTTTGCCCAAATCTCTTGGTATTGAGATTTTAAATGCAAGGTCTGTAGGGTTTATCAACTGAAAAATACCAAAACTCTTTATCCTATTTGTTGTAATCAGGTATCACTTGCAGTGTCATTTTGTAGTATAATTAGAAGCAAATTGTGGTCCAATTTTGGGGTTGATTTGTGTTAGCATGCTGCGCAGAACAAGAATTTTGTCTGTGCTGCTGCATTAGGTACTATTTCTCTGTCTATGCAGGAAAGATTTTGAAAAAATTCTTTACTGCATAAGTGGCTTTCATCATTAGCATCCCAAGTTCAGATCAGAGTGATGTGGTAAATGACAAAACAGGATATCTGCTTTTTCGCAATTGCTTTGGATCATATGGAGAATAGAAGTTAATATAATAGAATATAATATAATAGAATGTTCTCTTGGCTGGTACTAGCATGCTCTTCTCTTGAAGAGTTCCCAAGATGAAGGAAGTCTTTCTAAAACAGAGCTGAGAATCAAATGTTATCAAATGGCTTGAGATTGTTTGACTTTGCCTTTGGTAACTTTGAAATTGAATCTGACATCATCTCTAATTAACCAACCTGTATTTGAATGGTCCTACGTGAAGTTTTCTTAATGTGAGGTGTTTTTTGTGGATTCCTTTACCATCTCTGTGTTGACCTGCGTTACCATGGGTGACAATTAGTGGACTTCTACTTCCACACACATTTCTCAAGTCTGTTCTTGTTAATACTTGGTCTCTTTTGCCTCAGCATTTCTGAGTGGAGATCATAGTGACATCCTTCCTGCATCTGGACAGTAACCTTCCCTTGTTGAATGTGGAAAAGGCCTTGTTTCAGCTGCTAAGGTTTTTGCCATCCTTAGAGATTTAGGTAAAATATGCTGTCTTAGACACTTGACCATCTCTGCTTGTCCTCTTCAGAATTTCTATGCCATTTCTTGCCTTTTAGATGAATGAGCAATGAATGCTGCATTGATCTGTGAAAGTGGAAAAACATGTACGCCAACTATGTGTTAAATCAGTGATTTTTTTAATAGCATTTTTTCTAGTAAAAGTTGAAGATACCATAGAGGAGATGTTTAAGGAAAGGGATGGTGATGTTACAATTTGCTCTGCTTAAGAAGAAATACTGGTAATGATTATTAGATAATAGCTATTTCAGATTCTGGAAAACTGCCTGGTTTGGAGGGGACATAATATACTTTATTAAGTTGCTTAGAATATGTTCTGATGAGTAATTGTAGTGGTATAATTATTCTAGTGAACTTTCCCACCTTGTATAACTGTGTTTGCAGTATTTGATGATATATTTAAAAGTTGGTGTTTTGAGAATTGAATGGTTTTCATATGAATGACAAAGTGGCAAAGCTTTCTAATTATGTATAAATGCTTTGTTTGCTGAAGAGAAGTGAACTCTAGCTGTTCAATTCAGGCAGGGTTGGTACTGGCACACAAATGGGCCTTGCTAAGGAGTGACAAATGCCAGGTGTCTTAGTATATAAATCTGTGTTGTGATACATTTTTTTAAAAGTCATGCTCTAAATTGATAATAATGGTATTGTTTTACTTAAGATTTTCTTTTTCTTTAGCTTACGGTGGTATCAACATCCCACTGAAGAAGAACTGCGGATTCTTGCAGGGAAGCAAAGAGGGAAGAGTAAAAAAGATAGGTAAATACTTGTTTTAAGATTGTCTTCCCCCTGCTTTTGGGTTTTTTTTAGTGTGATATGGCTCACCAAAACTGCTCTGCTTGCATTAACTGTCACAGTTCTTTACCAAAACGTTCTTACAGTTGAACAGAGTTGGACATTCCCAAATGCTACAGAACTGGTTAATTTCCGTCCACAAAATGGTCTGTGAGATGCTAATTTGATAGCAAGTTTTTTTACCGAATGTATGCATTTAGATAAAAACTGAGGCAACAAGTCTTAGGATTGTTTTCAATCTTCATCTTGGAGCAAGAGGAGAAAGATTTATTAGTTCAACATAGGATTAATGTGAGCCACCTCTCTCAACACAGCTGTGAGAAAGGTAAATGGGCTCCTAGGATATATTATGTGAAATTTTTCTAGTGAAGAGAGAGGGAAATATTAATCCTCTTGGACAAGACACCAATGTAGAACTTTATCTGGATTACTATGTACGGTTCTGATCATTTGTGTTCAAGAAAAAGTAATTTTGTATATGAACAGGTAAACAGAGCTGCTAGGATCATCCAGGAAACAGTCTGTCTTACTCAAGGGGGCTAAAAGAGCTGAGGTTGTTGAATCTTTGGAAAGACAACTGAGGGGGTGGAATAGCTGTCCATCAGCTTAAGCTGGAAATAGATTTCTAGTATTCAGACATTAAGTTCTGAATAGCCATACCAGAAGTACAGCTGCATCAAGAGCTGAGACATCTTGAGGTGGTGGAGCTGGCCACGTTGATGATTTTTTTTTTAAATTGATCTGTTTAGAACCAAACAACACACTACTAGATTTTCTTTTTGGCAACACAGGAGGTTTGCTCTGGCTCTGTTTCTTCTAGCCCAGTATGAACTCTCTTGTAAATCTTAAGATTTGAATTAATCTCTGCACTGCTCGTATAATCTGTTAATCTTAATGTAATTTTTCCTCCTGTTTCCTAGCTCTTAAGCAGCATGGTTAGCAATCTTACTTGCCTCATTTAGGTTGGAAAAGACCTCTGAGATAATTTAGTCTAACCTTTGATCACGTGTAGATTGAAACATGGCCCAAAGGTCCGCATCCAGTCCTTGAAGACCTCCAGGGATGATGACTTCACCACACACTTCCTAAGGAGGACAACCTGTTCCAATTCCATGACAAAATTCCTCTTGAGATCCATTCTGAATCTCCCCTGGCACAGCTTGAAGCTAGATCCCCTTATCCAGCTCTAGTTAACCTTGAGAAGAGATTCTCCCCTGCTTGGCTACAGCCTTCCCTTAGGCAGTTGCACAGAACAAGAGGGTTCCCTGTGAGCCTCCTTTTCTCCAGGCTGAGCCCCCCCCACCAGCTCCTTCATCCTCTCCTCATCAAAGTTGTACTCCAGGCCCTTCCCCAGTTCCATGGCCCTCCTCTGGGCTTGCTCCAGCACCCCAATGTCTTTCTGTTTGTGAGAGGCCCAAAACTGAACACAGGATTAGAGATGTGACCTCAGCAGTGCTGAGTACAGGATATGGTCACTGCCCTGGTCCTGCTGCCCCCACTGTCTGACACAAGCCCCAATGTTCTTGTCTTCTTGGCCCCCTAGGCCCACTCTGGCTGATGTTCAGCCACTGTTAACCAGCAGCCCCAGATCCTCTTCTACTGGGCAGTTTTCAAGTCACTCTGCCCCATTCTGTAGCACTGCATGGGGTTATTGTGACTCAAGCATAGGATCCAGCACTTGGTCTTGTTGAACCTCATGCCATTGGTGTCAGCCCATCGATCCAGCCTGTCCAGATCCCTCTGCAGAGCCTTCCTGCTGTTCAGGAGATCAACACTCACATCCAACTCGGTGTTTGGAAATTTACTGAGGGTGCCCTCCATGCCCTTGTCCAGATGATCTGCAAAGAACTTGAACAGGACAGGGCCCAATACTGAGCCTTGTGGAACATTATCAGTGACCAGCTGCCAGCTGGATGCAGCATCATTCACCGCCATTCTCTGGGTTAAGTTGTTCCCTATAAAGTAGTATTCTTTTATTTTTTTTTTGCAACATCCCTTAAAGTTAAGAATCTCTTCTTAAGAGTTTTCTGTGACAAAAATGAGGCAAAACAATGCTGAATAAGATCATAATTTATAATTACCCATTTAATTAGTGATATTTATTCATATATGAAATAACTTTAATTATGTAATTGTAAGTTAAAATCCACCCGTAAGAGCATTAAACTGAAAAACACAATTGCACTGCCAAACAATAATTGTACTTTGTTCTTACTGCCTTTCCTCAGCCTTGCCAGTCTTTTCCAATAGTAGTAGTAGGTGATTGTACCAGGGTGAATGTTAATCATAGGGGAAAATAAAACATCAAAGAAGCTAAAGCTGCAATGTGGAGGCTTAAACAACGTTTTTTCTGCTTTGCTTGTTTGACAGCTGAATGAATAATAAATTATTTTTTAATGAATAAACATACCTTGTGTCCTTCAAAGAAGTGACTCTTGTTTGGGAAGAACCATAGTTAAGTGGGAATTGTTCCTGTGGAGTTGGTTTGGATTTACTGATTAGGTTGCATAGAATGGAATGTACAGCTTGTGAGTCATCTCAACAAGGAGATGTGAAACAGGTAGTGTGGGAGAAATAAGGATGCATCTGTTTGATACTCCCCATGATAAAGAATACTTTCCAAGATAAAGAATCTTCTTTGTCAAGCCTATAGTCTTGCAAAATCTAATACCTGCTCCTTAAATACACTCCCAGTCTGAACTAATCTAAAGATAGATTATTAAAGGAGATACAAGGAGCTTGCCTGAAAATTTGTCTTAGAAACAGCTGTAGTGGGAAATCTTAGTTGATTTTATTCAGTGCACATTACACTTCAGTATATTATGCTGTAGGCTTTAGGAACACAGGAATGTTAGGCAGGTCTTCTGCTTCAGAATACTTCATGCTATATGAAACTGTTAGGCTAATGAAAAGGTCCATAGCTACTGTGAATTACTTTGAACTAAAGCATTCAGTGATCCCTGGGTATGTTCTGTCTGTGCCTCTTGGATTGTAGGGCCCCTGGGATAACTGAAGTGTAAGAACACCAAGTTTTTTTGATCTGAAATGGCTTCAGTGGTAAAAATGCTCTTCTCACTCAAAATGATAGTTCTCCTGGATACAGGCAGTAGTAAAATATTCAGAGTACAGCTGGGGGAAGGGAAATAGATGGGAGCTTGCAGGTAGTCCTTGGGCAATGCTGGGGACTTGTGTAGATTCACACAACTGAATATTTTGAGTAATGCTTTAGATTCCTATCTACAATTTGTACATTAAAATTGTGGTGCTTCAGGTTATACTAATCATTAATACAACCTGAAAGATCTTATTAATCCTTTCTGCTTTTATTTTCCTCTTACATATGAGCTGAGGTGAAAGCATTCCTGAAAACTAAGTTCATGATTGATTTGATTTCTTTTTAATGTTTATATCCCAATAATTTGTTTTTCTATGGAAAACCCACCTCTCCTTTTCTAATTTCAGAGGTGGTATTCTAAAATGTGGCAGTTTGTTGTTTCCCTCTAGCCTTTAACAGGTCTTAAGTTTTAGGTTTGATTTTTTAATCTAACAAAATAACTTCTGACCTCCTTTAATGATTTTTTTTTTTTTTTAAAACAGTTGGAGAGGGAAGTTCTGCATTAGTTAGTAATGCTGACCTACCAGACCAAATTCTCTAGTTTTGTTTATATTCTTTTAAGAGCAGGCTGGATTTTTTAATTTGAAGTCTACTAGTGTGACTTAATTTCAGGGAAGCAAAGATCATATTCGTATAGTTTGAGAGCTCCTGATGAAAAGTGCCTTTTGTTCTAAATACACACCTTTTTAGATTAGAAAGATACCTTAAATTGCATTTGCTTGGTGGCTAGTAGGTTGGACCTTTCAAGGATCTAAATTAGTACAGCTGATGTGATATACCTGCTTGTTGTGACAAGGACTAATGCAGGTTTTTTTTTTTTTATTCGACCTTGGGAACACCCTGTAGCTCTGATAAATAAAGAAAATAAAGAAAACCAGTGGGCCAAAATAAATACTGCCCGCTGGATCATGACCCAGTACATACTCAGACTGAAGTAACTGGAAGCCATTTAAATCCATACCACAGTAGGATGTCAGAGTGAAGTCATAGCTAGGAGCTATTGACGTACCTAGTTGTTTTCCAAGATTTGAATTTTAAGTACTACTTTTAGCTAGAGACATAAAAATATTTGTATTTGGAAAAAAAAAAGTATTCTGCATTTTTCTAAAATTTGAAATGTCATTATATATTGAAAAAAATCTATTTTTTCATACCCATGCTTGTACTATCTATTTATTTATTTTACAGAAAATACAATGGTCACATTGAAAACAAACCCTTAACCATTCCAAAAGATATTGATCTTCATCTGGAAACAAAATCTGTAACAGAAAGGGACACTATTGGTAAGAGTATGCAAACAATAATATATTATTTCCAATATATCCTGATTCTTTCTATCAAGTATTTATTTGTAATTAATGCTGAAATATCTCTTTTCTTGTAGATAGTGACTGAATAGAAGCAAAACTGCTCATAAATGAGAAAGCAGGTAGTAGGGCTTAAGTCTCCATGAGTAACTTTTCATGGCAGTGTTGTGGAAAGGGATGAGTCACCGAAATCCAGCATAAAGCACAGCTGTTGTATCTGGTGTCCATAGCAATATGATACAACACTGCAAGAATCACATCACGGTCTATTCAAAATAGATTTTCTAGCTTTGTGCAAGAAAATAACAATTGGCAAATGTCAAGTCATACTTTCTGCTCATTTAAAATAGGAAATGTGCTGTAGCATTGGAACCTAAACCCTTTCAGCCATACATCTCAAGCATTCAGGTAAAATGCTTTAAAACAATAAGTGACACTTCAGAAATATGCACTATTAAGTGTTTTGGAAGGTACTACTTTTTTAGATGTTAGTTTTTGATTATTAAATCACAGTCATTCTGTTACAGAAAGTTCATATATGAGTATGTATGTGATATATATTGTTTTCCTACCTATGTTTTTGTATTTATGTGTTCTCTGGATAAATACAGAAAGAAAGGATGCGCATTCCTGTGCAGGAGACTACTCAGCTTAAATTATAGGAGACAGCATTTGTGTAATACAAATGAAGTTTCTGAAGTAAATAAACAAAGCATTCACAAGTTTCAATTGTTGTTACTTTCCTGAAATTATAGTAGCCAATTCTCAACCTGAGTGATACAGGATAGGGTTGGACTGTGTTTGAAAAGTTATATATACAATTTGTTTGTAAATCTAACCAGATTGTTATTTCAAAGTACAGGACTTGGAAATACCTGTTTGCCCAATTTCATATCTTTGCCAACAGGTAGCTTGTAGGCAAGTTAATGTTGAGTAATGTTTTTCTGTTTTCAAATTGTAAATGTAGGGAAGGTGTTCGGGATGGACAATTTGTGTTGTCACAGATGGTTCTTTGCAGTTTCCAACACCTATGGGAGCCCTGTCCAAAACACACAGCCTGTATGCAACACAGTATGATCCCTGGAATTTTTACAGTGAAGTTTACACAACAGTTACTGTTTTATAGGATGTATTAACAAAATCTTGATGAGCAAACCATCAGTATCTTAGATGGTGGGGTTTGTAAATTAAAAGAACAGTTGTAATATAATTGACAGACAGTGAGATTTTAATCTTTAAAAAAGGGTCAAAACAAACCCTCTTACCTGGAATTGCAGCCAGGCTCTACTGGAAAATTGTTTAATCTCTTTGTTGTGAAATATGAATTAAGCTTTTTTGATTGAGGATGTTAATGTATAAAACCTGAGGTGATAAGAGGAAAACATCATAGCCTTATAAATTTCAGTAGTAATCAAGTATTGGATGACAGAAGTATAGAATAAAGTTCACATTGTTGAGTAACTTTTTCACTGTTGTTGCATTTCACTTGGTTGATCTGAGTCTACCTAAATTTCACTTTAATTTACTTAATACACAATTAAAAACCTCCTTTAATTGCTACTCCATTCTACATACATCAGTAACTGCCTTAAAACACACCTTTAACTTTCACAAACTTATATTTTTCAGCATTGCATTACTTTCCAGAATATCAGTGGTTGGTGGATTTCACTGTTGCAGCTACAGTTGTGTATGTGGTGACAGAAGCCTATTACAGCATTATGAAGCCTTCTCAAGAAATGAATATCAGCATCGTGTGGTGTCTGCTTGTCTTGGCTTTTGCAGTGTATCCTTTTCTGTTTTGTTAATTCCCCCTCTACCTGTTGCAAATAGTTATATGTCATTCTGCAATTTGTATAAAATTCTGTGCCATTGATGGGTGGGATACAAAAAATATTTAGCATTTGGAAAAAGGATCCCATAAGCTAATGCCATTGTTTAATGATGTATATGCTGTACATGCTCTTTGTAAATGCTGGTGTCATTGGCTTGATAACATTAATACCAGACCATTTAGGAGAAAAATACACGTGTGCAAATATAGTTAGTGCTCACCTGTAGTATGTAGTGGTTCTAACTTGATTTTTCTCAGTTAGGCAATCAGAAATGTACAGAAAGTACTGCTTTTGAAGAAGTTTGGAAATTGTGTTCACTTTCAGTGCATTTTTGTTTTCAGTATGTTTAATCTTATATTTCCTGATCAGAATAGTACAGTGATGTGTATACATGTGTATACATGCAAAAATACATGCATGAATTCATAATTTTAAAATACATTAAAAGCATTCTTATAGAAAATAAAGTATGTAGACAGTTGTAGGATACTGAGCTCTGTGAAAAGCTAAACTCACCTCTGAAACTGAGGGAAACAGGAGTGGAGTAATTAGGAAACAGGCATTATCAAACCATAAAATGTTTGTTTTGTTATGGAGAAAGCAGTTAATTTTTTTTTTTACTGGAGAAGGCAGTATCAGACATAGATGCATGGTAGTTAATTGCATTCCACATGCAAATCCTCCCACCTTAGGGAGGAAAGTTGCAGTTTAAAGATATGATTTTGGATAAAGCAGTGGAATTGAGTAAGGGCTTGTAAGAGTGCAGATTATAGAAAGGTGAACTGGAAAGTGATTTGCCACAGCTCCTCTGCTCCTTCAGTAGCTGAGAACAGATAAAGCACTAAGTTAGAGTTGATAAACCTCTTGAATATTCAAAATTGTTTCCCCTGTATAAATACTAGTTCTTCTTTAGAGATTGTTAATGTCTTGTGGTTCATTCAGTTGATTTGTAATATTAGCAGTAGTTGGTGGTGTTGTGTAAAACCTTGAACTCTAATGTTTGGTTACATTTGGCTAAGAATTCTGAATGTGCTTCGTGCTTGCGTGTCCTTCATAATTACTAAAATGTGTGCTGCCTTTATAGTATGGACAGGAGCTTTTTTCGAAGTAGACTGAAGTATAAATGATAGAATTTTCCAGAATTTTTGCTTGTAATGTCTAAAAACTTGCTAGAAGAGAAAGTCAACACACATCTAGAAAAAAGAATGTCAGTAGCATGCTTCCAGATTAGGTATTTCCCGTTTGATGTACCATGGTCCAAAAGGTGGTTTTTCTAGTCTGCTGTGAGAAGAAAATCAGTGTCCATCTCCTGTTTACCTTTTAATTGTATTACAGCTATAGTATTGGTAGTACATAGTTGTTACTGCACATCCTTTGTTTTATTTTTTGGTATGAAATTGGGAATTTTAGTTTAATCTTCACAGAAGGAAGGAGGAAGAGGTAGCTACAGAAATCAGATGTGATAGCCAACACCTTTCACTCTGATTTTGAGGATGGGGGGAGTTTAATAGAACTAGTGGAAAAACAAGCTTCTAATACTAAAGCCACAATGTACTCTTAGATTTATTGGTGATAATGCCCTGTTTGCTTCATCTCTTGTATCTCAGGAATAGTCAATGTAAATAACACTATAGTAATTGTAATTCTAAGTGAAACAGAGTTGTGAATTATGTATTACAGGAAAATTCACCACAGTAACAGTTTCTTACTGTGGTTTTGTATTCTGTCCTATCATTGCTTTCATTTGGTCATCAATTGAGAGCAAAACTTTAAAAAATATTTAAGTTGCCTGTCAGTGCAAGATTTTTTATCTCAGTGTGAATGTGCAAGTAGCTTTTAAAGTCTGTGCTTAGTACTTGTATGAGGAGTTAGTGGCAGTGTAGAAGGATGCAGTACCAGGAAGCACAGTCTTAAATTTGTATTAGCCTTATCATCTCCATAAATACAGTAACGTAACTTATTCCAGGCATTACAGCTTTTTGGTTGAAGGAGGTATAACACATAGGTATTGGTAACAATTCTTGTGGTCACTGGAACCTAGTCAGATGAGATTTCAGAAGAGGTTCATTCATGTGTTGTGACATCAGGCTTTTGGGATGCAGAGAGTACTTAAAACTTACTCAACTAATTGCTAATTCAGTGTCAAGGCTAGAAATGATTCTGTGATAAAGGAAGATTCAGAAAAATTTGGTTGCCTACATATTTTTGACAGAAAGCAGTCAACATGATACGTCAAAGTTAAATATAGAACCATTTTGTGTTTTGCTAATAAGTATTTCTTCTGTTTCATGCCTGTGTATTAAGAGGTGAAAAGTTGTAAGCATACAAAGCAAGTTTGCAGATGATAGAAATCTGGGAGGAGCTGCTATATCCCTTGAAGGCAGTGTGGCCCTGCAGAGCCACCTCGACAGATTAGAGGTCTGGGCAATGACCAACCATACCAAGATCAACAAGGGAAAGTGCTGGATTCTGCACCTGGGATGGGGTAACCCTGATTGTATGGACAGACTAAGGAACAGTAGTGCCATGGAGCAGGACCTGGGGCAGCTGGTTGACAGAAAGTTGAGTGTGAGTCAGCAGTCAGCAAACTGGCCCAGCATGGTCAGCCAGGCAAGGGAGGGTATTGTCCTGCACGAAGAAAGACATTCAGCTATTGGAGAGGATCTAAAGGAGACCACAGGGGTGATGAAGGTGTGGAAGGGAGACCAAGTGGCTGAGGTCACTTGGTCTGTTCAGCCTGCAGAAGAGGAGACTGAGGGGAGACCCCACAGCAGCCTACAACTTCCTCAGGAGGGAAGAGGAGGGGCAGGCACTGATCTCTCTCTGTGGTGCTCAGTGACAGGACTCGAGTAAATGACCTCAAGTTGGGTCGGGGAGGTTTAGGTTGGATATCAGGAAAAAGGTTTTCACATGGAGGGCAGTTGGCCACAGGAACAGACTCCCCAGGGCAGTGGTCACAGCACCAAGCCTGACAGATTTCAAGAAGCATTTGGACAGTGGTGTCAGGCACATGATGTGATTCTTGGGGATTGTGCTGTGCAAGCCCAGGAATTGAATGATCTTGTCCAACCCAAATGTTCTCTGCTTCTGTGAATTCACAGTTTTAATGTGTTTTGGTAGGAATAGAAGATGGATCTTTTTCACTTTTACCATATGAACTATAAAATTCAAGAATTCCATAATTGCAGCAGTTTAAAAAATAAAATTATTTTTGTAAAAGGGTATAACGTAAATTCTACAGTGCCTGCAACTATATACTGTATACAAATGATACAATTCTAAAATGCCTCTTGTGGCCAGAAGAAATTAATGAAAGGGGAGCTGGTGTAGGCAATCTATAAACTTAGCACTAAATACTCCCAAATTATTCTTTCAGTAGATCCTGAATATTAGGTCTTGCAGTGGAAGGAAGTGATGAAGTAAGCCATAGTGTTCCAATTTTCTCCAACCCGGAAATAGAAGCAGTGCTGATTATTTAAGTAAAAGAGGGTTTCAGTCATGTGTAGTTTGCATAATCATGAATCTATTTATTGAGTTCTGAATCTGCACTATAATTGTGATTTATTGTTAATATGCTTTCTTTTTCCTCCTTGGATTTTCCAAATCTTTCAGGCACAATCCATACTTGAAGTCATGAAGTATCTAGAGAGACATAAATCTGATGATAGATTAGGACTGTTGATCGCAAACTGTTATTAAGTCCTTTGTATAACTTCAGGGTATTTTCAATTTGTGATTAATATCCCTAGCTGTAAAGAGAGCCATGGTTTAAACATATGTTATTAGAGAGACAAAGCTTTCCAGAACACAGTCTGTTTGATCTATTACGTGCTTCTTTTTGGGGTGAGTTAAGTCTTCCTTTTGATGTATCAGTTCTTTCTGTATAGAGGGGTCTGAAGGTGATTACTATATGAGATTAGAATTATTAGATGCTGTCCTTAGAACACATTGTGCATAGATCACTCTGCATATACATGAATTCAGCAGTGTGTATGTTAAATGTGTGCTGCCTGTTGAAGTGTAATATTGCATAATCATAGTTTCTTGAGAGACTGACGGTTGTTCAAATGTTTTATTGAATAGATAACCCCAGAAATGTTCTCATGTACTCTACATATTCTTTCAATATTAGAAATGGGCAAATACAACTATGTTACTGTATAGTGGGGGAAAAAAGTTGTACAGATTACACCTGTTTTTCTTTTTTCTCTTTTTTCAGATCACTTAATGCTTGGAGTTATCTCCAAATACTTTATTTAAATCTGGACTCGTATTGCCTACCATTTAAATTATAATGAGCTGCAGTTCATAGTGATGAGTTGACAGTGTATCATAAAGAGTTTGTCCTAATATGTTTCAGTTTAGAACCAATCTAGAAATGTGAAAAAAAGAATACGTAGTAGATATTTTTAAAGCACCCTGATAATAGAGCAGATGATGCCCTAAATGTTTGTCTTTGTGACAGTGGGTCCAGATAAAAGGATTTGATATATCATACCAGATAATAGAGGGGGTTTTAAGACTAACTGTTTTTCCAAGGTGAACATGGGATAAATTTTTCTTTCCTAGATAGGACTCGCTATGCTATTGTCTTAACTCTCTTTGAGCTGAAAGTCTCAAGTGTGTGCATAGTTGGGAGTGCTTGTGGAAATGGCTTAGTAGTGAACTTATTGGTGTTAAGTTGATGGTTGGACATGATCTTAAAGGTTTTTTTCCCAAATAAAATAATTATATCCGAAAGGAGAGAAATATAAGTTCATTTTTTTCACGTGTCTTCTTTCATACTATAGATAAGCCTAGATCAAAACTCTACTCCAGAGTATTCCTGGCTACTATGTGATTATTATTCTTTAATGTGTTCTGTAATTTAACCTGAAATTGGCTGAAAACATATTACCTTCAAAAGAAATAAATGCACATCATAGTGCATCTACACCGCCTTGGTGTAGATGACCAAAATACAAGATTATAATTCTTAGTTATAGTTACTGCACAAAATTAATTTTCCTTGACCTTTTTCTTACATAGTAAGGTACTGTTTTCGTTGACTACCCATTATTTCAAAGTTGAAGATGGAGGTGAAAGATCAGTCTGTGTCACCTTTGGTTTTTTCTTCTTTGTGAAAGCAATGGCAATACTTATTGTGACAGAAAACTATCTAGAGTTTGGATTAGAATCAGGTAACCCCTTTCTTTAGTGTCTGAAACAGCTGTAGTGATTGCATGATCTGAAAAAAAATTATTTCCAGTGTTTTTGAGAAAATCTGTGTTAAAATGAATAGTTTAAGTCATACGCTTCCAAGAAAATTTGCTTTGTAATGAAGATTGTGAATAATATCCTGTATATTTTCCTGCCTTTCTCTTAAATAGTGTAATCTTTGCCTAGCTTGTTGATTTTGTTAATTGTATTTGCCTTCCAGTTATAGGCTTAGCCTGTTTTGATTTTCATAGTAAAGTGTAGCTCCCTTACTGGAGAAGAATTTAAAAAGTTATTTTTTTCACCTTTCTGAAATGTTGAAATATTACAGATATTAAGACATTAATAAAAGCTTTATTGTATTGTGGCCAACTAATTAGCACATGAAAGAGCTCTACTAGACGTATGAAAAACTGTTTAAAGGCTGACGTGTTAACGCAGCATTTTATTTCACAAAAGGGATTCTTCATTTGTACTGTAATAAAATAAATATATGTGTCTCTGCAGGATTCTCGAATTTCTCAGAAAGTGCTATGCAGTTTCTTGAAAAACAAGGTTTGGAATCCCAGTAAGTTTCTGGAAATACACTTGCCTGTTTATTTGTGTATTTATAACTTGTCTGTTTTTATGTGAATTTATGAACCATTTGGATTTTCTTAGGAAGCCTTTGTTTTACTTTTGTACATGGTTGTAATCCCTACAACATTTTAAAGAAGTTAATAAAAAGATCTGAAAGTACCCACAAGTAACTAAACTTGCATTAAAGTTTTTAATATGGAGATAATTTCTGACATTTTGATTGTAGTTCATAAAATCAAAAGTTCAAAACTGTAAATACTTTTTTTCACAGTATTTCATTTCAGCAAGGATTGTTTAAATAGATAAGTATTTTTTGTCATTCCTGTGGCATGCAAGAGGATGAGTATGCAAAAGCTACAAGATGGAGTTTGTGTTAAAGTTCGCATTAGGAATAAATTGCGTTGTTCAGTCCTGTTTTCAGGTTTAGCTGTGTTCCTATCACACAAAAACACCTGGTTGCTGCAGGACATGCGAGCCTTATATGGACTGTTGAAGGAACATGCCATAACTTGTGATTTTATATAAATACACAGACACTGTCATAGGCACCTTTTGTATATTGCAAAATGGATTTCTGTTACAGTACCTTATACATGTGTGCTAAAATTTAGGGAGCATTTCATCACTAGGAGCACAGCATTGAACTTCTTGCTTGGTGGGTCTCAAGTACCATGCAGAAGCCATGGTGTATCTTTATTTTTGGGGAACAGAAGTTTCCTCAAACTAGATTAGTGCAATTTATGAATAAACTCATGGGACACTGGTAACTGAATCCCACGTGTTCCTTAGCCTTTCTTCAATCTACTTTCCTGGGGTCACTAACTTCTGTATTCTTTTTCATGTTAAGTGTTTGTTTAGTTATAAATAAACACTAGTTTAGTTACTGCAGTGCTTTGCCTTTTTTAGCAGCAACTGAGTTGATGATGATGTGTCTTGGTAGTTTATGTGATACAGATTATGAAAGAATCTGAAAGTCATTTGAATCACTAGATACGGTTTTGTTCCTCTTTAATCTGCTAGTTACTTTTCACTGTAGCTGATGTTTTCTTGTTTGTTTGAGCATTTTGTTTTGGTTTTTTTTTTTTGCTTTGTGTAATCCTGTGTTTGTTTATTATGTAATTAATTATGTGATTTGGTTGATCATGGATATTTTTCACATAGGTTTTTTAATACACAATACTAATCACTTGGAAGAGACATGTTAATGCCCCATGTACATTTCACATAAATCTCTGAAAAGCTGCAGTTATAACAGTTTGATAGAGATTTTCAGTGGATAATAGTAGTATAAAGTATCCATTTTGTCTTTGAGCAGTTAAACTTGTGAGACATCTGTTCCTCTTAAAAACACAATCCTGAAATTCATTCTATTTTAGCTATTTCTATCATATAATTTGTTGTTAATTATAATATAAAATTATTATTTTTTTTCCTCTCTACTAACAAATTAACATCTCACATTCAGTAAATTAGGTTTTCTGTTTTTCTAGGAAATAAATAGGTGACTTGGTTTGGTTTTGAAAGTATTTTCTAAAATTATAATTTCTGATTGTTATTATTTTTCAATAATGCTGTTATTCTGGAGGAAGCCTATAGAATACTGTTGGCTTTTTTATTAAATGTTAGATACTGTTGGGTTGAAAAAAGTCTCTTCCCACTCCCTCAACTTCCTCCCCAAGAAAATGCTTATTTCCTTTCTTTTCTTTTAGGGGTCCTGTATCTAAACTAACCTTCAAATTGTTCCTGGCTGTTCTGTGTTCACTTATTGGTGCTTTTTTGACATTCCCTGGCTTGCGACTGGCTCAAATGCATCTGGATGCTCTGAATTTAGCAACAGAAAAAATAACACAGTAAGAAAAAATATATGCAAATAGGTATATGCTACTCAATCTTAAATCTTTTATGTCTAAAAATAAACAAACTATTCCAACGAGAAGGTAGTAACTTAAGACTTCTGTTGCAGCCTGCTTTTCATATCTTGAGCAGATTTGCCACCTGCCACTTTCTGCTCAACCTGTGTTCTGCCAGTCTATTACATCCTTTGCCTTGTAATTAAGAGTCCCAATTAAAGGAGCTTTCCTTTCCTCCTGCAAGAGCTCCACCATGAATGTCTCTGTGTCCAGCTTTCTTTCCCCCATCACATCTTTCTGGAAGTTAAGATAACCTTCAGGAAGTACAAGTACAACCACAGACTGGTTTTTTTCACCCATGCTTCCAGCTGGATGTTATTCCTTTAATAAATCTAACATAGGATAAAATCCAAAAATGACCCAGAATTTTTAATAAGGTTTAATAAGGTCATATGTTAATACCAATTTAAAGGAACATTTTCATTTTCAACCATCCTTCCATTTGGTAATAAAACGTTCTGTACAATTTAACTATTTCTCTTGAGCATTCTCTGGTTGAGAGGCTGAAACTCCAAGTGACTTTCAGAGATCTTGACTTGTTGTTTAATACGTGACAATGACAGATTCTGCAGCGTAGGGCAGTGTGGGTACTCAGTCTGATAAACTTCTTAAGAGAACCATTATGTTTTCCCATAGGAAAATAATTTTTGTTCAAGCTGCATTTTTTTTCTTTCCCTTCAGGAATGCTCAGCTTAAAAATTAATCTGTTTGAAGTGAATCCATCAGTCTTGGTAAATTTATAAACAAGTACACTTGCAGTCTCAGTGTATTTTCCACGTATAGCAGCCAGCTACTGGCTAGTTTTATCTGCTGTTACATTTCTGTCTGTGCATAGACTGTGGTCGAGTCACTTCCTAGTCTCTTCTTTCCAGATAGATAAACTACTTAGTTCTTAATTTTTATGGTTCTCAATATTTTTAAAATTCTTTGTGTCTTTTTTGTAAGTATTCCAGCATTTTCCTTGATCAATGGACATGACATCCTAGGCAGAAACACAAACTCTTTGAAACAAAAATCCGTTAATCAAGACCTGAAAGGCAATTAATATCCACTGAAGTGTGCTTATGAAAATTAAAACTTGTCTAGCTTCTTTAGATGATACTGGAGCTGGTTGTTGAAGATAACTTTTTTCAACACCACTGAATTATTTTTGGAAGCCCACCAACACTTCGACTATTCAACTGGAACGGAGTGAAAATTACATTAAATTGATTAAAACTTGATAAGATATCCATATAATTAGGCAAAGCCGTGACAAGAATATTTTTCAAGTTATACGTTCTAATAAACCTGAAGAACATAACTTGTCCTTGCTGATGCATTTTTGTTAATGGATAGATAATTTATTGACTACAGTTGTTTGGCAGGGACTAAAGGGGGGTTGTAAATGAGGATGATGTGTCACTGATACAAAGCTCTCCCCAAGTTGGGTGCTAAAACAGCGTCTATTTCCACAGTCAAATATGTACTCTACTTAAAAAACCCTAACCAAAACAACTGCAAAGAAAAAGGCAACCAACTAAACAAAACACAAAAACAACAAAAACCAAAATAAAAAAAACTTAATCAAATCAAAAGCCCCCAAAACAAGAATCTCCCTTAAAACCCAACAAAAGAACCAAAACTGAACAACCCAAAAAAGCCCAACACAAAATCTATTCCTTAATGGAATGGAGCACCTAACTTTGCAGAGAACATTGACCAAAGAAAGGCCGAAAATGTAAGGGTTTATGATCAAGTACTACTTCACTAATATGTTCAAAATTATTTGCGTGATTTTTTTATGAGTATAGGGAGTAAGTTCATTGGTCTGGGGTAAACAGAATAAAAATCGTCTGGTGTCCCTTTTGGTTTTGAAAACTGGTTTGATTTTTTTTTCTGTGGCAGTAGTATCCTTCCCTGCATATATTTGGAGCCTTCTTAACAAATTTTTACAATTTTCATACACATTCCCTCCTTTTCCAGAGCCTGCATCATCATCCTTCCTGCCTGTACCAAAAAAAAAAACAAACCACTGTGTGTGATGACTGCTTCTGTAACATGCAAGCATTTTAATGGTTTCAGGAAGTTTGATAGTTTGCAATCAGGACGGTCTTGTGTTCTTTAGAATAATTTCTGATTACATCCTTTTTCGTCATCATAGTGCAGAAGCATTGTTGTGAGGGTGGAGACATACCTGATTCTGTTAGTGAGGAAATACTGCACTAAAAAAAAACCCCTAGTCTCTTCAATTGTTCTAATTTCATTTTAGTAATGAAGAATTATTGGGAAAATGGGTTTAAAAATAGAGAAGAAAATTTAGGAGTTTAGAAATAAAGAAGGATATTAATTTCAAGGAGAATTCCAAAAACTGTATCCCCTTTTTAAATTCTTCTGTTTGTACTCAAAGATTACTAAAGAGTACTACTATTATTTTTGTTGTTCAGTTTGATACAGTATTTTTTTTGATCTGAGTATCTTTAATTGAATATAAGTACAAAGTTTTATTGAATCAGGGTTTTTAAATAAGATGCTTCATTAAACTGTGAAATCTGACCTCTGGCTACTGTTTGTCCTGTTCTTTTTAAAGCCAAAATCCAGTGTGATTTCACAATACATAATATTACTATTTTGTTGAAATGTAAGTCATACCTATAAAATTGGGAAGTAATTTTCTTATTTATCTTCCAACTATTTTAAAGTTAATATTTCTCCTTTTGAATCTGTTTACAGTTTCAACAGTATGGTCATTGTTTTTGTTTACTAACTTCCCTCTTTTTTTTTCTTTTTTCAGAACATTGCTACATATAAACTTCTTGGCACCTTTATTTATGGTTCTACTGTGGGTAAAACCAATCACTAAGGACTACATTATGAGCCCACCTTTGGGCAAAGAGAGCATTCCTTTGTAAGATTTCTTTTACAAGTTCTTTCTGGGGAACTGAAATCAAAACATTGGCTTAGAGCTCTTTGAAAGTGGTAGAAACGTTAAAGACTTTAATAGCATCTGCTGTCAGAGGTATTGTGGAAGGTACAGCTGAATTCTAAAGAGCTTCTGGTAATTCAAAAGAATGAGAATTGGTTGCAGAATGTTGCATGTTAAGCTGGTGGTCCCCAAAAAGCTGCTGTCTTCTGACATCTCCTTGGCAGTAATTCATTGTTTTCTGTAGGGGTGGAATGCCACCTCACTAGTACCTGCTGGAACCTTGTATCTTGCATCATACTGATGTAGGAGAGAAGTGGTTTCACTAAAAACAGTCAAGATACATTGGAATGAGAATTAAGCTAGGAAGTTTGTCTTAAGATTTACGTGCTGATGAAGCGGTATTGAATTGATAGGTAGAATATTTAAAATATAAAAAGGGAAAGAGTTTCCAAGAAGAGTGGTATCTGAAGTACTTTACAAATATCATAGTGGATTGTCATTGTCACAATTAGTCTTGGTAATTCCAAATGGACTTGAAACAGATACCATGGGCTGATACATTTCTTGCTTTCTAGAGGTGAGATAAGCTTCTAAAGTGATCCTGTGACTGTTGAACTATTACATAAAACACAACAGATATACATATTTTGTGTATCTTTTGTTCCTCAGTTCATCTTACAGTGATGGTTGAGCTATTACTGGGTGTCTTAGGCAACTGAAGTACCCATTTACAGTCTAGTACTATTTTCTATCTAGTCCTGTGTGTGTCTGAAAACTTGTCATTGTCTGAGCAACCTTGGTTTTTAGTGTCCTGCCTTCATTACTCAGAATTTAAGCATTTAAGAACTGGTCTTGTTTACAGACAAATAAATAGTAATTCTGTGCTGTAGGGCTACTCAGAAGTAGTAGGAAAAAGAAGGCGAAAGTAAACATTACTTACATGTGACCCTCATAACTGCAGTTTGTGTGTTAAATATTTTTGACAATTTGCCTCAAGATTACTGTAGAGATGATTGATAAAAACAAATAACTAGCAGTAAATGGTCTTTGGAAAACATCATTACCCTTTTTTTATTATCCACAGAATGTCAGAGGACACATTTGATACCATCAGATTGTGGATTATAATCATGTTGTGCATTTTACGGTTGGCTATGATGCGTCATCATTTACAGGCTTATCTGAATTTAGCCCAGAAAAGTGTGGATCAGATGAAAAAGGAAGCTGGTAGAATAAGTATGGTTGATTTACAGAAAATGGTAAGTAAGGTGGCACTACATATATATATATATATATATATATATATATATTTGTAGTACTTTGACTGCAAATGATTTTCTTCCCAACTGGTTGTTTTCTGTGACAGCAGAGCTCAAATCTGAATGAAGCTTTGTAGACTCTATCTCCTGTAAAAACAGCATCATTACAGAGGAGAAATTCTGCAAACCAAAATATGGAGAGATGTATCATATGTGTTATGCAGATTGTTTGTCCTTGGTTACTTGGAAGCTGTTGAAAAAGATACCCTCCAATGAATGGTGATCTGTAACTACAACATGGGAAAGGAAAAATTTAATTTTGATAGATGGGTAGAATACTGTTACCAACTGTGACTTTTAAATTGAGGGAAAATTTATGATAAGGTGGTTATATTTTGGAATAAAATGACAGATGTTTAATTCTGTCAGGCCACTTAGAAGTTCACCAGCCTAGTTAAAAAATTGCCTCTTTTTTTGTGGAAAAGGCAAAATTTCTGAGGATTCTTTTTTTAAAGAAAAGCAGTAAAGCATACATTGAAGAAATGGAGGCAGAATGGCTGCTGCGTTGTCTGAAAAGTAAATTTCTAGTGTTGCATAATAATGCTGTCTAATGATCCTGCTGAGTTGGGGTCTGTTGCAGGAGGAATACTGAAGCATGCCAAAAAGACAAAGACTCCTCTTCCAGGATTGTCTTTATTACTTGTTACACTAAGTGTCTGGAGGTTGTAAGTGAACTGTGCTGTAGTTATTACAAATTGCTCCAGAAAAAAAAAATTAGGAAATACATGAATACATGTAGTAGCAACTGGTTAGGATGTAACTATGCCAATTGCTCTAAATGCACTATTTTAGAGCATTTCTTCCTGTCTATAAAACTATATTGTCCTCTCAATGTGGCATTTCTTAAGTCCATTTCTTCAGTGTCTTCATATAATCTCTTTGAGAAGGCTGTAATAACTAGATGTAATCTTGTCTTCTTTTACTCATCATATCTGTCTTACCTTTTCTAGAACTTCTGCCAGTGATGTCTTTCCTGGCATTCTACAGTGATCATTACTTTTTAATTTGTTATTTTTGTCATATTCTATCAAGTTTTGACAATATTTTTGTCTCATGGTTTTTCTTTTGTCAGTGTCTTACTACTATTTTTTTCTCATGTGAGTTTTTTGGTGCTTGCTCATTAAAAAGCCCTCTGAGGCTTGAGAGGTATTCCAAAAACGGTCATGTCTGCCTTCATCATATTTGCCACCCTGCATTCTGTTCTTTTTTAAATGCCAGGTAGTTTTATTTCACTACTTGCTTGCTATTGATTTTATCACTTTTTTCCGTCTTTATTTAATTCAATCTTTTAGGGCAACGGCTTCTGTAAAATACATAATGTTACAATCTTGAGAAAAATGGAACAGATGGAGAGCAGGGGGAGGGATATATCTGAATGGATTTTAATGAACCATAGTGTATGGTTGAAATGAAGACCATTTAAATGCAGTTGTTGATCTAACAAAAAATCATCACTGTTTTTAAAATACAAGTGTTTTCCAGTTGGAAATCTTAAAAATATCTCACTTTTGAAAAAGGACTGTAATATTAACCAAGCTTTCGTTTACTTTTTATGGGGCTTTGGACTGTGACTACTACTTCATTTTTGAAATAGGATTTAGTTTGTAAATCACTGGGAACTTGAAAAATAAAACATATATATATATATTTTTGTTTCTGGAGTATTAAAATAGGAATCATTGAATGATGGAATCATGGAATGCATGCAGTTTGCAGAAGCAAAATTGATCTTTGTTTTAACAGAATTGAGGCTTTTAATTGTATCCTTTCAGCACTTCCTCTCAGATTTGTAAATGTCCTGAAACTAGAATTCATTATGGGGATTTCTTCATTAAGTCTTTTGAAGACATTATGTCACATGTCAAGAGTTACTAGAAAATTCTTTAAACAGCTTTAATGTATAAGTACTGGGTTTTTTAATAATTTTCTAGACATGTTCATAAAGGTCTGCTTTGATCAAACAGGATTAATGAACTTTACTCTCTTTCATTTTTCCAGGTAGCTCGAGTATTCTATTATCTCTGTGTAATTGCACTTCAGTATGTTGCACCAATGGTAATGCTCCTTCACACAACTCTGCTCTTGAAAACACTAGGTAGGCAAAATTGGATCAACAGTCATTTATTCTGTTCTACACAGAAACTTTTTTATTTTCACCTGACTAAAGAGAATTAGAGAATTAGAATTCATGGGTACTTGCAATACAAAAACACCTTGTAGTTTCCTGTACTTTAAAACATTCATATGTTGTGTGCCATTTAACTAGTTGTTTCTGTTGCTGGTTTTGATATCTTCCAATTACATGCTACTTTGTTTGATTTATTTCTAAAAAATTGTGTAATGCAACCAGTTTAACTGTTTACTTCTGTTGAAGTATTTATCTTTTTAGAAGTATTTTAAAAGTGAGCTGTATAAGGCATGATAGATTTAACTTCATGAGCTTCTCTTAAAGGAATTTTTTCAGCCTTTTTATCTATAGTAGACTTTTAGAATGAGATGTGAGATATGGGGTTCATGTAGTTACTGGGCGACGTGAAGTAGGTCTGGTTGGGGTTTTTTTTTATTTCTTTCTTGTGAGACATGTCTTTCATAGCCTGCCATGCAGTTGTGTCATTCTCTTTGCAAAAAGGTGATGGATAGAGATAGGCTTTAGTAGGTTGTGATTCATCCTGCCCTGGAGTAGACATCTCCATCTGGTGAGATGAATCATACCCAGAATACACAGCGGTCTCAAGGCAGCTACATCACATGTAGATGTTAGGATCCTGTTAGAATACTAGATGAATCCTATCCCAGTAGCTTGCTGGTATGACCAGGAAGTCATGCAGATGAATATAGTTTTTATTGACTAAGTTAGAAAAACTTCACATTTTTGTGTGTGTATTAAAAATACATCAAAGACAATCTGTAGAGTGATTGAAGTAACGGAATTTGAATTTAATTCTACAAAAATCTGTTACTTGTTTCTTTTTAACAGGTAATTATTCTTGGGGCATCTACCCAGGATTGAATTCTGACACTCCAGTAGAAAACAGTCTGCTTCCCAATTCTGTTTATTCTGAGTCTCCACCTGCTGATGGAAAGATGAAAGTAACTGTAGTACAAATAACAATGGCTCTGGGAAGCCTAAAGAATATTTTCACTCCTCTCCTGTTCCGGGGACTCCTGTCTTTTCTCACCTGGTGGATTGCTGCTTGCCTATTTTCTACAAGCCTTTTTGGGCTCTTCTATCACCAGTACCTGACTGTGGCATGAGCAAGTCAACTGACAGAGCAAATATGAGGTCAAATACTAGATACAAACCCAGGTATCCAAGAGGAGATGAAGAGAAAACTATATATGTGAAGAGAAAACATATAATAATTATTTTTAAACACTTCCTTGGTGTTCTCAGGGTGAATAATCTCAAAATGTTTAAAATTTCAACTGGGTTTGTTATTTTTGTTACCCAAATGGTAGGTAACTAATTCAGTTATAGTCCTGGGATTGACTGACATTATTGTGTTGTAGATGTTGGTAAGCATGCTGAAAAGATGTGACCTCTGAGTACCTTGGTTTCCATAAACAGCAAGCCAAACTCAAAAATTTGCTTTTTAAGCATCAACAGTCACTGACTGAACTGCATTCAAAGGGTACTGGACATAGTGATGGTGGCTGCCTATCAATTAAGTCTTGAAACTGAGCCATACAGTGAAAGGAGAGAGAGGGGATTTTAAAAAAAAAAAATTCTGTTGGATAGCTATTGATCACTTTTCTCCTTGGAAAATGAAATATCCAACAGGACTAAAGAGATACTGTATATTACAGTAAGGAAAGTTGTATAAAATATAAATTTAACAAGAGTGGATGTATGTACCTGGCAGGTATTGCTGCCTACATATTTTGCAGGAGTGCTTGTGCAGTAAGAAGAGAGTTATAACAAATACATTATTTCAGTCCCTGAAGTAATTTTGAAGTAATGGCCATCTGTATTGGTGCTAGTATTGATCCACAGATTGCATCTGGATCTTTTAAATTTCTTCTTTTGACGTAGTAGATAAATTCCATTGAATTTACAAAAGAATAGAAAATAATTAGTGACACCAGTCAAACATTTCTAAACAAAAGTTTAATCCTGCTGACTGATGGAGTATGTATATGTGTAATGAACATATAAATATATATTATATATTAAATATATAATATATATGAAGGTATGAAATATGGAATCTTTATTTTAAATTCCTGAATGTATCTTACAGGGCTGTGGGAAAGGGGTATATGTGTATCTAGTAATTTCAAGATTCCCTTTTGAAAGGAAACTAAATTCTTTTTTTTTTTTTTTTTTTTTTTTTTTTTTTTTTTTAGTTCAGGTGGAAGGGCTATTTGGTTTTTGTGCCTCTTCAGAGGTACTTAGCTATACTGAAGAACTTACACTGTCTTGGAAGAAAAGATCTACTTGAACTGTTAATCTTAAAATTTCTCCTCTGTCAAATCATCTTTTGCCAATTTAATCTGTGCTAACTTGACCGTATAATGATAATTAATATATCTTGGCTTCAGAAATAGGTTTTCTGTATAATAAAACAGCTATGTAATAAGAAAAAGAGCAAAGTACTAACTTTACAGTTTTTGCTTAACTGGAGAGATAGGTTCCAATCATAAAATTAATGACAGTTTTTTCAGATGTTTTGTGTATTTGCAAAACAGAAATGGGGATTTCTATGTAATAGCTTTTTTAAACAATATTACACTTTGCAGAAGTCAGTGGGTTTTTTAACTAATACTAGCTGTTTTTATGTTACTGTTCTTTTTCTCTTGAATTTGTGTACAGCTTTGGCATATAATAAGCATTTATAAATGGAAAAGCTTAACTAAATATTTAATATGTAGCAAACCTACCATATGGGAAAACAAACTCAATGAATGCAGAAAATCAAGATTTTAAGCTGGTGATAAACTATTTTACTGTGTTGAAAGCCTTTTAAGTTATTTATTAGTTTATTAAGTTGCATTTTTGGGGGAAAGATTTATGTACACCAACCTAGTACCTACTGCATGCATTTGGGATGTCAGAGAACACTTTGCATGACACTACTGGTTTCATTGCAGTATTTCAGTGTGACTGGGGCTGCAAGCTTTGTTGTTTTCACACCAACTTTTTGTAACTAACAAGGATGAAGGCTTAACTGTGAATTGGCTTAAAGGATAATATTTGACCTCATAGTTTCAAATCTCAAAGTATTCCTAGGAAGTATCTTTCAGATGAATAATTGAATGACAAAATGTGACAAGTCCAACAATACTGGACCCACTTTTGTATTAGTTCAAGATATATCATTACTACAAGATACAACATCACTAATATAATTAATAAGTCCAGCTTTTAGGTTAGAGTTAAGTGTTCAGTGCCAGTCTTTTGTTCAGAAAAAAAAAACAGTGCAAAACATTTGATTCTGATAGTGAACTTGCCTGATGAAGCTCACTATATAGGAGATGTAACCTGTTGTTACAATCTGGAGTAAATTTTGGATACTTAAGGATATTTCAAACTAATATTAAAAAGTTTCTGCTGATATAGTCATTCTGAAAGCTCATAATAAAAAGTGAACTGCAGTTATATAATAATGCATTCAGCAGAGATAATAACTGGATCATGTACCTGAACTTCACAAAGCTTTTGCTAAGAGCTTATGCCACCTTACTATTCAGACATCACACTGATCACCATGATAAATAGGCACCTGGTGTTACAAACACGATGATCTGTGCTTGTAGCCACTGTGCTGTTTCACTGTTCTACAGAATTGAATGCTTGACCTCCTGGTCAGCAGTGAGGGCAAGATGGTCTTTCTTTGGATCCATTTAATCCTGTCATGAGTCTGCAAGGCTTATGGAAAACTAAAATATGGCAATAAAAGCCTTTGCAACGTATGGTGATAGTGAAACCAGAGGGACCATATTGCTAAAGTTGTGAGCAGTGCTTCCTACAAGTATGTGATACGGTCAAAAATGTGTTTTAAAGTAGCAACCATGGTAGTCCTGACTTCGTGTGTATTGTGTGAGGTTCAAAGGAAAATCTGCTCACTTCTGTAGTAAGTTCCTTTGAAACAGCAGCTAGCAAATGCTTTTATTGTTTGTTTGGTTTTTGTTTGTTTCATGGAAACCTTTATCAGCACCTGGCAATGGAGGGAAAGAATCTTGCAGAAATGGAAAAGCAAGTAAAATGTGACTGAAAGATTGATAGGTGTTGCTCAGGTTTCTAAACATTTTGTCTTGCTTTTTGCCCTCTACTTAGCCAAAAAATTTTAGAATGGTTTGGGTTGGAATGAATCTCAAATGGACCAGTTTCCACCAGACCAGGTTGCTCCAAGCCCTGTCAAACATGGCCTTGAACACCTCCAGAGATGGGCAGCCACAGCTTCTCTGGTTAACTTTTATCTAGTGCCTCACCACCTTCACAGGCAAGAGTCTCCATGTAACACCTCCCCTTTTTTAGTTTAGAACTGTTCCCCCTCGTCTCTGCCTGTGCAAAAAGTCATTCTCCCTCTTTTTTATAAGCCCCCTCTAAGTACTGGAAGGCACAGTGCGATCTCCCTTAGTTTCTGAGAGATTTTAGAAGGAAAGGTTTAAGAAGGAAATGTTCCTTTGGCAAACAATCTTTGTCTGTTTCTTCTTAAATTAAGATCTCCCTTCGTCTTTTAGCGATAGGATTCTGTTGCAAATCTACAGCACTTTCCCTGTGTTTCCTACTCAGAACCAAGTAGGCTAAATTAGTTCAAGATTGTATTTTGACTTCTGTTTAGTTTATCTATTTTTGAAGGACTGTTTCATTTAAACAGTTCAAATAACTTCAAATTCCATCTGAAACACTAACAAACTTGTTAACATTTGTTTAAAAGCTGCACTTTTATTATGTAGGTCCCTCTAGACATAGGGTTAAGATAGTGATAAATCCAAGTCTTCCAGCAAGTTCAGGGAAGTCCAAACATAACACTTGGGCTATTTCTGAGCTAAGAGAAGTTGATTAAGAACAGAGGAATAGATTATAGAAAGTGTATTCTTACACTTTGTAGGGGACATTCTCAGGCTGTACTTGTCCTCTTTTGATTCCTTCTCAAGCTATAGGTTATGCCAGTTTTTGAGGTTTTGTTAGCTGCAGTCTTTTCCAGAATTCGCTTGCATAAAGGATCTACAGATTAAATAGTGGTATCAGTACAAGAGAACATCCTTGTACAGAAGATATTTACAGAAAACTAACTTCTGTTGCAGTCATTCTTCTCCTCATTTGGATCACAAGTACTGCAAGGTGTTTAAACAGAGATTTGTTCTTCACTGGATGGTAAAGTCAAATTTGTCTTAAGAACAAAAATGCTACCAAGACATCAACACAACATTTAGGCAGCATAACCTCATGTAGCATAACCTCTATGTAGTGGTTAGCAAGTACAGAAATTTCAGCTAGCTTCAAAAGAACAATTCCAAGTGCTATACTTCTTTACAGTAACTACAGCTAAGTGGTAATGGGGATATTGGATATTACATAGAAAATGGAACACATTTGATCTTAAAGCTGTTGGAAGGCTCTCCAAGGTAAAAGGCTTTTGTATCTTTATTCTTAAATAGCTGTGCTTTCCACAGAGATCATTTTGATCAGTTTTCAAATACTATGCTTCATGCTTTTTCATGTGACACATTTTGCACATTTATTTGTTCAACACAGCCCCTCCCCACTCAGACTTAACCCCACAGATAATTTTGTCACTATAAAGTTCCTAGATAGTTTTAGTTAAGGTTTAAGAATTAAGTGCCCAGACAAAATGGAGACATTGAACAAGAATGAGGCCAAAGAAAACTGTGTGTTCTCTTGGAGAAATCTGTTATGGCTGAGCAAAATCTTAATGGAGGAAGGCAACAGCAGATTACTTGTATTCTATATCAAATATTAAATGTGACTCTTTACCATTATGTGTAAGACTGTTATTTTCAGCATCTGCAGCCTAAATCCCAGGTGGTAAATAAAGAACAATATTTTGACCTCATGGATACCTACTCTAAAGAGCATCTAGGCAACAGGTGCTTAGAAGCCAGATGTCTGATCTCACTAAGCAGGCTGATACAAATTGGTTTGTCAGTGGTTCAGAGTGATTTTTGTGTAACTCCTTCTTTAGGAAGGCCTGCCATGCTTTGTGACCTGTGAAGTGGATGGCACATCTCATTTGCAGTCCTCAGTACTAGACTGAAAGGTTTTCTTCCTCTAGGTGAGGTCATGAAGCCAACATGTCACTTCCAGGCTGCTTTTACTGACATCAGTATATGCTGCACTTAACTTTTTCCAGTCTCTCACTGTGGACTGCCAGGAGAGTAATACTGCACTGGATATTGTTTTGCGTGCCAGTGTATATGTATTTTTATACCTTTAATTTCAATGGTGTTTTTAATGGAAATTATTTTTAATCGTAATACCATGGATCATATTTTCGTTTTTTGAATTAATATAGGTGCCTGCAACTAGAAGTCAAAAACTTCTACGCTATTTTTTTAAAAAAAAAGTTGGTGTTCAGGCTGAAGTATTAACAGGTATGCAGTTTTATATCAAAGTCCAAAATCCACCTGTAAATACCAGATTTTTTTCTATGTAATTACACATCAGTCAAGAAGCCTTAGAATTTGTACTTGCAGCATTTTTTCTCAACAACATACTATCATGTGACCCTGCTATCTATAAAATACCCATCTCAAAAGAGCTTTGAATAGCTTTTTACAAACTCTTTAGTAGTAGGTCATTAGTCTTTTATTATGCTGCAACATATTAAGATCTGGCTTAAAATTCCTGTGCTTAAAGTCAACCTTATTCTCTCTTCCTCTGCTCATAGTAACTCTGCCTCCTGTATGTGTTCTAAGCTTCCAGAATGCATATTCACAGTACTTTCAAGAAAAACACAGGATGAAGAAAAAGGCACCAAAAAATTGTATTTCATAACTAAAGTTCATACCCATGTCACAATGTGCCAAGAGTTTTTATTTTTTTTCCCCATCTTTGGTCATTCCTTTGTTCCATTGTTAACATATGTAAGGTTTTTTAGCAGAAATACACATGGAAAAATATTCTGTAATAGAAGTTACAGAAAGCTGCCTAATGTTTCAGTCTTCCCATTTATGTAAGCAAATATTAATCCAAAGACACTATTAAATAATTTCAGACTAAAATTTCTCATAAGGCAGACATGTTACAAACTGCACAGGGAACAACTTTCAAGTTGTAAATATTTTACTTTAAATCTTCTACTTGTCTCTTTGTTTCTGGGAACACACAAATTCCGTGTTGTTCTTCAATTAATAGGGTTTTTTTGTTGTTGTTTTTTGTTTGTCTTTAAGTGAAAAGTACGTAATACTTGCTACTCTAGAACAAAGACCTAAGACAAAAAGACTCTCTCCCTTCATTTCAGTATTTGCCTAGTGGGAAGGACTGATGTTATATATGTAAATTTTAGCTTCCTCTTACTGCTACAATACTGTTAAAATATGAATTTTATAGTTACAGCTTTACCGAGACAGTCATGCTTCACAGTGAGGATGGTGTCAAGTGGTGTTTGCATTCTATGGATCTGGTGTTGCATTGCCTGCTGTTTAAAAACAAATTCGCTCCTATGCTTTTAAAAGTTCATCAAGATCTCTGATCAGAAGAGCACAGCACAGGTTGAAAAAGTTCACTTTTGAGGCGATTTTTTGGTTGTTTTGGGGATTTTTTTAGTGCTGTGGATAATACTTGGGTACAACTACTACAGCTAATAAACAACCTCCAGTAATACTGCATTACTTTTGTACACTGTAAAGTGCCTAATCATGGGTGATTCTGATAGCCCTTGAAATGGGGTTTGCTATGAAATTATTTTTTTCATACAGTTTTTGGCTTATGTAATGTCCATGTGTGGTTTTGTGTTATTGCGTATTGGAGACAAATAAGATTTTGAAGAAATTCC